TTTTTTTTTTTTTTTTTTTTTTTTGTTTGTTTTTTTTTTGTTTTGTATTTCTAGTTTTTGGAACACAAACTAAGTTCTAGGTATAATTTGAGTACACTTAAAATTAATTCATTGTGATGATATTTTTTTGATGAAATTCGATAAATTCATCGTTTTGGTTTAACTGTCTCCTTTAAAACATATGTATTTCCCTTCCTACAAAAATATTGAGCTCATTGCAGAAATTATAGCCATAAAAAATAAGTAACCTAGGAAGTAAAAATTTTGATGCTCAAGTCCTCAGAGTTTGTATTATGAATTCTATTCTATAGCTTGTCTCTTTTACTTAAAATCAAAATCTGTATATATAATCTTTTCAGTATGAAAAGATTAAAGATATTTGAATGGTAGCACCGTAGTTAATTTATTGATTTAATCATGAACAATGGGATTGTTACACTGTGGAAAACAATGTTTAGATGAACATTCTTATATTAATCTTTACACACTAGTTTGAAGTTGTTTAAAGTAGTTTGGTAAATTCCTTGGACTAGAATTTCTACTTTAAAAGTATTTACAGTTTAAATTGCAGTAATGTCTGTGTTCTCAGTCAGCTTGTTCTCTAAAAACTATTTTAGGACCATAAAGTTTCTGTATTTCCATAGTAAAAATTATTTTAAAGGATTTATAATTGCCATTGTTGTAGCCTGTAACTGAAGAGACACTGACTTTAGAATTTACAAATTGTTGTTGTAAAACTCTCTGTTACCTTGCAGTGATCCATGCAGTGATTTGGGCACTGATTTACTTGGTAGCATTTCCCTAGTGCTTGCTTTTTTGGCACTTGGAGAAATATATATAATTTGTTAGTCTCCAGATGTTTTAAGTAGAGGTTCTTAGGCTTATAGTTGCATTGAAAGCAAAATGATTAGCAAGTTTGATGTTTTGTCCTGGAGTTTGGACTTGTTCAGTTTTTGAGACTTGAGACTTAGGACCTCATTATTTACTTTTTTGTTTTTTGTTGCCCTCCCTCCACACTGAGTCTCAGATGACTAAGAACCCAGGTACAGGTGGATCCTTCCCATTCTGGGCCCTGCCTGTCCCCTCAGCCTCTGTCCCTACTTCCCTGTCTCCATGTTCAACTCCTCCCCTGCCTTTACATCCCACTGCACCGTCTGTGTAGACAGCTACCTTCCTACTTCCGTGTGGCCAGCATCCAGCTGAGCTGTGTCTGGACATCCTGGGCTCAGTGGGAAGCCCCTTTGTTCTGCCCGTGCCCTGCTGCTCACTGGTTACTCGTTTACTTCTGTTGCTGCCTATGCGACTCTGTGGACAAGTGTGGGGGCCATGTGGTCCCCTGCGCCTCGTGCGCCCAATGTCTCGCTTATACAGAGCACTTGATGGTTTCCTGATGGAGGTCGGGGGTGATCACCCCTAAGATAAAGTTGTGATCACCCCCTAAGATAAAATATGTATTCAGAGTTGAGTTGTGAGACTTTGGGATCATGCTCTCCTACACCTTCTGTGCCATCTCAGGTCATATTTCAGAAGGATGGGGTTGCTTGGATTAGAGGAAAAGTGATTGAAGACAGAACATAAAAGTACAATTTTCCTAGAAGGCCAACACTCATGTAGTTAGAAAATTGTTTTCAGTTTTCCTGACCCCAATCACAGTGGCCCTTTCTGTGTCCCTCTGGCTAACTGGGCACTGTCCCAGGCAGACTCTGACCAAGCGTTCTCTCTGTGCTTGGTTGTTTGCTCTCAGTGGTGGGGACTGGACCCCGGCCTAGTGCTGTACCCCTGAGCTGCACCCCGGCCCCTCACTCAGCAGTGCTGACCACAGCAGGGTTGTCGTCTCAGGTCACTGGGGTCGACTTCTTTTCCAGGCATTTGTGCGAGCCCTCGTGGACCACACCAGCGATGGTCCTGAAAAGCGGCGGCTGCAGGAGCTGTGCAGTAAGCAGGGAGCAGCAGATTATAACCACTTCATCCGGGACGCCCGCGTCTGCCTGCTGGACCTGCTCCTGGCCTTCCCATCCTGTCAGCCGCCGCTGGACATCCTGCTTGGTGAGTTGTCACTTTCAGGGTCACCTCCATTCCTCATGCTCCTCCTGTCTCACCCTGAATCCCAGGGCCATGTGTGCGAAGGACTGGGGACCCTTAAGAAACATCTTGAACCACGTCTCCTAGGTGCAGTGACATCCGGGTTGTCCTCTGGAAGCCAAAGAATCTCTTTCAGGCTTTTTGATTTTTCTCGAGAGGTCCTTTTGCCAAGTTTATCTAAATATGTGGACTTTCTAAGAAAAGTGATCTTTGTAAAAGATAGCATCAGCTCTCACTGACTGAGGTCACCAGAGCAGCAGCAAAACCTCCATCCAGCCGAGTCTACAGTTAGGACCCTTCAGGAGCGGGAGGGACCACCTTGTGTCGCAGTGGTGCCAGCTGACAAACGGAGTGCTTGGAGGCAGAAACCTGCCCTAAAATACTGCCGAAGGTCCTCCGGTGTGAGGTCCACAGCGGCTGGCGATCCTCAGGTCCTGCGTGTTCTTCTTCGCGCGGGTGTGCGGTTTCTGGTAGTGTAGCAGTCGAAGCTGTGCTGTCCGCTGGCTCTGGTGACGCTGCAGTGTCTTCTCCGTAGGGCAGTGGGCTGTCTCAGTGGCCGTGCAATACCCAGCACACTCCCTCGCGTCGGCCCTTGTTTCTCCCCCCTCATTATTTCTTGGTGTTCTTTTCTCTCTTCCCCTCCCCAAGATGGCACAAAGCAGCGCTGGTGAAGCTGCCCGCCCTGGGTCCGGGCTTTAAGTCAGTCCTTTAGCGCTGTTGGGGCGGGGCTGGGATAACAACTGAATAGTTCTGGAAGCCACAGCTGGTCTGGGAAAGTTCCTGGACGCATGTGAGCGTTTCGGGGATTTCTGTGTAGGTCCCTGTTCTTCTTTTTTTTAAGCATTTATAAAAACAGCAGTTATTACATAGTTATATAAAAAAAGACATTGGGTCCTATAAAATTTTAAGTTATTTTTTTAATTGTTCTAATTTTTTTGGTACTGGGGATTGAATTTGGGACCTTGCGCTTGTGAGGTAGATGGCAGCACCTCTGAGCTAAATCCCCAGTCCCCAAATTTAAATTATGAAGATGAACCCTTACTAGACCTTATTCACGTGCATAGTAAAACTCTAAGCTCTTTTAGATAGTTCTGAAATTTTACTTAAATAACTATTGGGAAGATTCTACACATAAAAATTCCAAAGTCTGCTAACAGGTGATTCAGATATTGATCACATAAATTGTTTCTACCAGAAACAGTTTCTTTCTGTGCTACTTTGGTTTCCATATATTTTAGAAACCACTAGGTTTGTGGATAATGTGGTTTAGAAATCACCACCACCAGACACATACTTTTTCAATTATTATATAAATATACGAAGGAAAATATGCCCGTGGGTATTTCCAGTATCTATAGAATAGCAGTCTTTAATCTTTTTAAGGTCATGATTTTATTTCAAAACTCTGGAGATCTCTTCACAGGAAGTTGCATGCCCTTGTAAAAGTTGAATGAGTTCCCTAACTCAAGCCTGTCCGTGAGTCCTCTCAGCGTCTTGGTTCATGAGACTCGGCATTTGGGTGGAATACTGATGTCGGAGTAAGGCTGTGCATGTCTCACTTTTAACTTTATGAAATGGAGGGGAAAATGAGGACTATTTGATTTAGACCCAAGGAATGTATATGTAGTATGAAAAGGAGGGTTCGTAAACCAGAAGAAAAGTTAATTTAGATACTCTAAATAAGAGAAATAGGATCAAATTTAGGCCTTAAAGTTGTTTTACCTTTGTATACAAGGTTGTTTTCAGCAGTACTAAGTTAATACTTGCTTGTTTTTATTTTTTTCTAGAACATCTTCCTAAACTCCAGCCCAGGCCATATTCTTGTGCAAGGTACTTCTGTTTCTGAACATAACAAAAAGCATCTTTTGCCCCCAAATCTGAAGAAGGTCCAGTTTCCAAATCCTTCATAACCACTCATTCCACTGATTCGGCAGCAGAAACGTCTGTGCTCTGTGGACGGTGCCAGGCGTGATCAGGTGTGAGGAGGGGAAGCTGGGAGGGCCGCGACTTGGGCAGGGGACAGAGAGAAGCTCTACACTGGGAGATTTTTCCCGTCTTGCTGTCTCTGCTGCCTTCCTCAGTGACGGGTGCTGAGGTGTACACTTGGGGGGCGAGTGAGCCTTCAGAGCATATGAGAAGACATAGGTAGAAATGTCTTTTAAAGGCATCTTCTCTTGTTGAATTTTGTTTTCTGGGGATATATATAGTTCCTTTACTTGCAAATTTTAACTTAATTACTCTTTGTGAGATATTTCACAGGATTTCTTTCTGTCTCTTCACGGGATGAAAGGTCTTTATAAACATTGAGTCTTTCACACGGAGACCCTTAGGGCACCTTGGTTTTTATTAAATCTTATGTAGTATCGAAACAAATAAAACTGGACATTTTCCTGAATGATATCACAAAATGGGCAGCGGAAGAGGAGGTTAAGGAAGAAAGATTGCTTCTCTCTTTGAGGAGCTGGAAGGTAGATTGGAGCCCGTTAGGAGCTATTTCATTGCAGTAAGAAAGGATTGTTTCGCCCGTGTGTGCCGGTCCTAATGCAGAACTCAGACTGTATCCACCTGTGTGTCTTCACAGCTCAAGTTTGTGTCACCCAGACAAGCTTCATTTTATCTTTAATGTCGTGGAGTTCTTGTCACACACCCCAGAGGTGGCGATTCTGCGGAAGGGCGTGTGCACGGGCTGGCTCACCACGTTGGTCGCCCCATTTCTTCAGCCAAACTCACAGGCATCGCGTGCGGACAGCGGAAAAGCCCCGACTCCTGAGGTACTGAGGGAGGAGCTGTGAAGCTCTGTGTGGACTGGACGCTGTGGGCCTGACAGCAGGAGCAGCGTGGTCTCCTGTGCCGTCCGTTACAGTTACAGTCACACTGTCCCAAAGAAAATGTGCACTGCGCCTGGGTTTCTGAAATCTGCAGAAAGATCAGGGAAGCATACTCTCAGTTCGTCGTAACTAACCTGCAGGCTCCGTACGTGCAGGGAGCATTCACTTTCTACAGTCCGTCTCTTCCGTCTTGTTTTGTTCCTAGAAAAGGAAGCCTTCTCCGTGCGTATGCTAGTGGATTGGTCTGGAGCAGGCAGAGGAAACTCCAGCAGGTCCTGAAGGAGGTGACAGGCCGCTGTCCCGTGCAGCTGCACCTTGGCAGCCTGCCAGCGTGTAGTTTTACGTCTTCCTGTGTGGGGCAGTGGGGTTTCTCCCCTTTTGTCATAGTGCTGGTGTGTGGCATTTGTCTCTGTGCTATTAATGGAGGAAAATGGTGGGAAATCTTTAAAAGGAAAAAGTTCTCTGGTTTTCTGGACAAGTTAAGGACATGTTTACCCCTGAACCGAGGGACATCCTTTATATTTTGACGTAGCAGTCAGCAGAGTCTCCCTGGGGACCGCTCGCACAGAAAGGAGTTCAGAGTCGCCCCTCCTTGCCGGTGAAGATGCGTGAATGGGAATGACAGCAGTGTTCCGGGCTGTTTCTTCACGGTAATGAAGGAACTCCAGTGTCAACAGTAGTGTCAGGGCAAGTGAGACTTCTTTAAGTTATGGGGGTTTATAAATAAGCAAGTTCAGAGCCCTTAGTTGTGTCTCACCAGGCATAGGGGGAAGCCCCGGGCTGGAGCTGCCCTCACGTCCTTCTCAGCTGACCCAGCCGAGGGCCGCTTCACTCTGCCCTTTAAACACGCTAGGTTCATTGTACCGCTGCGAACTATTAGGAAGCTGAAACTATCCCGAGAAAGAATCTTACAGTGCTGACATCCAAGTGGATACCTTCACGGTCCCATAAAAACCGCAGTGATCTCCAGAAAGTTAAAAACGCAGTGCGTGACGAGCTTGGTGCGTGGGTACCCGTCACATACTGTTCTTCCTCCCTCCTCCCCTCCTCTGTCCTTCCAGTGTAACAGATTTCCACGGACTTCCCGAAATGTAGGCACTAGAGGTAAAGGTCGGGTTCACAACCACCTGAATGCCGTCAGCCTCCTAGCACCTTGTACTCAGAGCACAGAGCAGTTGCACAGCTGTTCTCCACATCGAGTCCCAGGGACGAGGAGACCCTCTCCCACCCCAGCGGGAGCAGACAGCTCGAGAGCAGAGGCTGGCAGCCCTGGCAGCAGGGCGGTTTGCTTCTTTGGGCCTTCTCTGCTGTAAGATTAGGCAGGACCCCTGTCCAGGATGCACTTTCCGGGTGCGGCCCACATAGATGAGACCTCGGAGCAGAGGAGCAGCCTGGTGCAGAGCCGAGAGTGGGTGTTTCCGGTTGTCAGCCAGCTGGGGTCTCCTGCTGCCCAGGTTGTGCTCACAGGAAGTGCCCGCTCTTCTCCTGGCTTTGCCACCAGATCGCTGCTGGGAGGAGGGCCAGCCTGACTCGTACTCGATGCTGAGGTCTCTGTCACAGGTCTCACCCAGGGCCTGGACCTTTACTGACCTTGATGTTTGGGTCGGCACCTCTCTGCTTCCCCAGGTTCCTTGCCTGTTTAATTTTGCGCCATAGGACCCTTTGTTGACCATCATCCCAGGGACACAGTTGATGACGTTTCCTCCCACTAGAACGTAAGCTTCTAAAGACGGCATCTTTGATTTGCTCATTTCTGTCCCCAGTGTTGGCCTCACTGAGTCCTCTCGGTGAAACTGTTCATTGAGTGAGCTACATGAATCAGGCCGATGTAACATGAACCCCATTTCCCCAGACAGGAGTAGACACAGACGCTCTGTGTGCACGCTCTTCGGGAACATGTTACATTTGCTTACCTGGGCACTATACACTGCTAGGTCTGTCCTCCTGGGCCCTTAGTGAGCTGCAGTGTGACTTAGGCGGAGGAGGGAATGAAACCGGAAGTGAGGCACACAGACTAATTCCTTTGTGAGTACCCATGGCACATGATTTGAAGGAAAAAACTCTTTGGAAATTTTAACAAAAAGATCTTAACTACATCACTTGCGCATCTACACAATCAAATAATTCTGGATAATACCACACACAGAAGCGCAAGGGTAGCACAGCCTGTGGACTCTCTGGGGCAGTCCCTCGGCTTCTGTTTTTGGCCCCCTTATTTTCATTTCAAACTTCCAGCCCCGCCTTGGAGTGGCTCCACAGTGGCTCTTTATGTACAGACCTGAAGAGCTGGGCCTCTTGTGCACGCCTTCATTCTGTATATGACTTGCTGCCTACCAGAAAGCATATATCCATGGAGCTGGAAAAATACTTTATGATATATTCACTGTTCTCAGTAATTCCATGGCTGTTACTTTAAAACCTTTTGATAGGTCAGAAAAAAGAAATTTTCAAGACAAACTTGCTCTGTGGTGACAAGTGTGTTGAGTTTGTGAAGATCTAATGCTCTTCGACTTAATGCTGGTTCTCTGTTCCTAGCAGATGTCAGCTTTGTTCTGTGCTGTGCCCAGGTTTTCTCTCTGGGTTATCACAGCTGGCTTCCTATTCCAGATATCCATCGCCCCTCGAGCAGCCAGTGCTTTCCGCTTACCAGATGACCCCTCCGCCCCCGTCATCATGGTGGGTCCGGGGACCGGCATAGCGCCCTTCATTGGCTTCCTGCAGCACAGGTACCTGCTTGTTTCGGCTCCCGGGGAGTTTCCGGTGTGTGATCCCAGGTGGAAACATAATAGCCTTTCTCATGTCCTTCCTTGGTAGTGTTTAAGGTAATTGGACTTTGGTCCTAAGACTTTTATTTGAAAAAATGATCATCGAATATCACCGTGGGAAAACTAGCCGAGGGCAGTGCGTTCCCGATGCTGCGCCTGGTGCTGCAGCTTCTGTGATTGCTGTGGCGTATTTCTCAGCCCCTCCGTGGTTTATAGTATATATAGCTGGGGACATTTCCGGCCCACGTTCACCTGCTTATTCCTTAGGTTGGTAGTAACAGATCCAGTTACACTGAAAGGTTCACCATGAGAGTCAGACACCAATAATTTCAACATGATATTGACACGAATGATATTGATGGTATTAATAGATACAACTCAGCGTCGGGAAAGAACCGCATGATATAAAATAAATTAATCATGTTTCTCTCCATGTTTGTGAAGCAGTGAACAAGTCTTACACTGTTGCCCGGATAGTGGGGTCTTTGTTTCTTTTCGTTTTTTTCTTAAGAGAGGAAAAGCACGGTGATAGATGTACTCTGTCTCATTGGTTATTATTTCATAAATACTTTGATGCCTTCCACCTTTTGTAGTCTGTGCTACTTCTCCAATTTTATGAGTAAGCTCTCCCTTGTTCATAAAATTGTTACTAGTATTACGTGCTATGGAAATCACTGTCGGTTTCACCGCGTGATCTTTGTATTATCCTCAGTGTATGTATTTTACATGTAACTCAGGGAAGCCTTCAGCTTACTGATGTGTTGTTGTCTGTGGCAAGACTGTGGCCGCCTATGCAGCCATAGTAAACTTGTGCCAGTCATCTCACTCTGACCGTGATGAAACACCCAAGTTCAGCTATTTTGGTTCACATCTTTGGAGGCTCTGGCTCGTGATCAGTTGGCTTTGTGGCTCTGGGCCTGTGACGAGTCAGCATATGGGGGCAGAAGACTGTGGCAAAGCAAAACTGTTACCTCATGCCCACAAAGCAGAAGAGGAAGAGGAAGGGGCCAGGGTTCCCCTGGGGCACAACTCCCCGCCGCCCCACCCCAGAGAGGTGCCGTGCTGGGCGTGAACCTGTGTGTGCAGGGCCGTTGGAGGGTAGTCCAGATCCTTGCCAGCTCCGGGCAGCAGTGCTTGCTTGGTTTGTGTGTGCCAGGCTCTGGGTTCCATCTGCAGTGTGTCTCCTCTCTCTTCCTCTCTCCCTCTCTCTCTTGATTTCACACATACATAAATAAAATAAAAAGGATTCTAATCATAGCAAAAATTAACTAAATGAGTGAACTTTGAAGGGCTATAGAGATGGATTCTACAACCCTCAGTTTATTGTTGGTTTCTTTTTTTTGGTACTGGGGATTGAGCTTGGGACCTTCTGCTTGTGAGCTTCTGAGCTAAATCCCTGTCCCTATTGTTGGTTTCTTGATGACAGAGGTTTGTTTTATGTTGCTTTAATGCACTGTCTATATTAAACTAAGAACCCTTCTTTTTCTCTAGAGAGAAACTCCAAGAACAGCAGCCAGATGAAAATTTTGGGGAGATGTGGTTGTTTTTTGGCTGTAGACATAAGGAGAGAGACTACTTATTCAGGTACCACACAGGGCTGCTGACCGCTGGGTGTGCACTTCTAACAGTCAGACCTTTTCACCTTTACCTGTAGCCTTCCCTGACCCAGGGCATGTTGTCTTTCAGAGACGAGCTCAGGCATTTCCTGGAGCATGGGACCTTGACTCACCTAAAGGTCTCCTTTTCAAGAGACGCCCGTTTGCGGGAGGAGAAGGCCCCGCCGAAGTATGTGCAAGACAGCCTCCAGCTGCACGGCCAGCAGGTGGCGAAGGTGCTCCTCCGGGAGCACGGCTACATTTACATGTGTGGGTAAGTGGCCCACTGCTTCAGCGCCATGGAGAAGGACAGTGAACGATGTTTATAAGAAACAAAAGACGGGGTAGGCAGGTGGTGAGTCACAGGGAGCTAGATTTGTGTGCTAAAGATTTGGAAAACTTCCTGTTTTGTAAAGAATAATCGTATTTTCTTTTTAGAGATGCAAAGAATATGGCCAAGGATGTCCATAACAGCCTTGTGGAAATAATAAGCAAAGAGCTCGGAGTTGACAAACTGGAAGCAATGAAAACTTTGGCTACTTTAAAAGAAGAAAAACGTTACCTCCAGGATATTTGGTCATAAAACCAGAAAAGAAATAAGCCTTTTTTTTTTTTTTTTCTGAAAATATTGAACAGCCGTTTTAATGAAGCTGAAATTTAAATCTTAATTTTTTTTTTTTACTTTTCTTGGGGTCCAGAGGGAAGTGGGTCTCTTGACAGCGATTCTGCCTGCCGCATTCACCCCCTTCCTGTGCCTGCCACCCCACCCAAGTGCCTGTGTGTGGCTCCCAAGCCAGGTGTGGCCCAGCTCACCTGCAGGTCCCCAGGTCTGGAGAACTTGGCAACCTCCCCGGGTCGCCTGGGTGCAGCGCTGCCTGAGGAGGCTTTGGAGAGGATGCTTGTGCAGGTGCCAGACCGGCTGGAATCCGCTGGTGCACAAGGCTTGTAAACTTCCCTTGTCAACGTTTTAAAAAAATAACGTGAAAGTAATTTGTCTTTTGTATGATGTGTATTCATGAAGAATACTCATACTGATTTATTTAAATTATACATGTAGACTCTACCTGTTTGTATATTTTTTTAACTATCAAATGATTATTACCAAAACTTTCTGATAAAAATATTTTAATTTTAAATTTATAAGAGTTTTTATGGGATTAAAACAGATATGCTCTGAAATTCTGTTCTGGCAAATTGGTTTTTTTTGGTACTGGGGATTGAACTCGGGTCCTTGTGCTTGCAAGGCAGGCCACCGAACCGCTGAGCTAAATCCCCAGCTCTCTGGCAAATTGTTTTAATCACTTTTGAAATATCACATTCTCACTGTTTGGGGACACTCGTTCAGGCGCACATGCCAGAATGTGCACATTTCACTAAGGTTACAAGTATCTCCTCTCACTCCTCTCGAGCTCTGTTTTTGGTGCTGGGGATCGAACTTGGCACCTTACGCTAGTGAGGCGGGTGGCTGCACCCTGGCCTAAGAGCTGTTTCATTTTTTTCTACTCCTTAGCAACTCTCTTCCCATCAAAGACTTCCGGTCATTTTGAGATATAAAGATCTGAAAAAAATGACACAATCTTAAGATTTAATAAGGACTTTTGGCTGTTTATTCTACAGTCTTATGTATTTTATCTTTGTTGTTGCATATTTTATATGCAATATAATAGAACTAATGGAAAAATGGGTGATGGAACCAGACTAAGCAAATACTACGTTACAGATGTAATGACATGCATGGGTTGTATATATATCAGCAAAGAGAAACTTAGGAGTTTTTATAGGAGTAGTTTTCTATAGCAGTGACTATAACAAGAAGATAAAACAATCAGGGATTCTTGTCCATCTACCACTGTTGTCTAAAAGCACATGGCTCAAAACTGCTACATCCATAAGTAGCCAGTCACAGTTGGTGTGGAAACTGACCCAAGCCACTTCTTTGTACACAACATCCAGGTTATTTGCAGCTTAAGACCTGAAACAGTTTTAGAAGTTGATCATGAACTAAGTCATAAAGGCAGACTCAACAGATTGTGTTAAATAAGGCATTTTCACTGATTACTTAAGTCAACCACAGAAGACCCACAAAGCCCACAGTGAAGAATTTTAAACACAAAAATGTGATTAAAATTTGAAATGAACCAAAGAACCAGGCCCTGTGGATGTCTTCAGGCAAGGAGAGAAGTCAGAACAAAAGCCCTGAGGTTCAGCTGCCTGGCAAGTTGGACAGCAGGGAGAGCTGTGGGTAGACAGCAGAGACAGGAAGAGGGAGCCGTGGCGCACAAGAGAGGAGGCCGTGATGGCACTGGAGGGTTTGGGCTTTCAATGTGAAAGAATCACAGAAGTAGTGCGATCTACCCTTATGTTCTCAAGGGCTTGCTGTGGCTGTGGGAGTTGAGACTAAATGGAAGGGGCCAAGGAAAGAAGCGTGGACTGAGAGGTGATACTAAAGATAGAGCATCCTGTCCAGCTCCAGAGCTAGGCGGGAACCAGCGTCAAGCTTGACTGCTGAAGGTGCAGGGAATTCTCAGGGATGCCTGTACCACTTGAGCGTTAGTACGCTTTCCGTGGCTGTGATAGAGTAGCCAAGAATAACAAGGAAAGGTTTGCTGTGGCTCAGTTTCAGACATTTTATGCCATGATCAGCTGGCTCCATTGATTTTAGGCCTGCAGCAAGGCAAGAACATAGCAGAGGAGCATGGTGGAGGAATGCTGCTCACTTCAGGGCAGTGAGGAAGCAGACAAGAATCAGAGAGGAAACAGCCAGGCCCAAGAGCACGCCCCCAGGACCCTGCCCTTCCAGTAGATCCCACCTAGTGAGTTTCACTCGGATCCCAGCAGCCTATGGAATTGCGAACCCATCTGTGGATGAGCCCAATGCTGAAGCCAGAGCCATCAGGTCCAGTTACTTCCCCGGAGCCCCATTCTGAGCCCTGCTGCTTTGAGGACAGAGCCTTCTGCACACGCACCTTCCAGGAGACTTAACCAACTGCAGCGCTCCGGTGCTCTGCTGCATCAGCAACCCTTTCCTCATCAGCTGTGGTTTAATATGTGGATGTTGCATGTGGGGCATCACTTATTTTAAAAACGACGCTATTCAGGTCACAAAATAGCCACGTTTTACCCCAAATAGTGCCTACATGTTAGGCCAAAGCTTATACTGCTAACGTACATTTTCTGGAGAGCCATGCCTCATTAAACTGTACTGCAGGTTTATTTAGAGAGCACTCTAGAGAGACTGAGTAGTCTTGCCAAAATGACTCTGTGTTAAACGTCTGTGTACTACACAATTAGAGGGGGAGATTATTAAGCAAACCCCCTGATATGTTTGGCAGCGGTACATTTCAAGATATAGAAAGTTTGTGAATGTAAAGGCTGTATGCAAACCGAAAAGAAACCAGTTATGGGTATAAAAGGGAGACCAATCCAGGGTGGGAGCACACACCTGTAATTCTGACATTCTGGTACTTGCTGCAGCTTGTATGCTGACACTGGCAGGCCAAAGCAAGACCACAAGGGAGCCCAGCCTTGCCAGTTTAGTGACTTCATGAGACCTTGTCTCAAAATAAGAAACAAAAAGGGGCTGGGGGAGTAGCTCAGTGAAGGCCCTGGGTTCGGTCCCCAGCACCCCAAGAATAAAATAACCAAGACAAAGTGAGAAATATTGCTGGAGATAGTTTCATAGCAGTTAAAGAGTCAACTGAAGAGGAAAACCTGAAAACCAGAATGTGTGCACACGTCATAGAGCTTCACAACACGTAAAGCAAATGTTGCCAGAGCGGAACGGGGGAAAAGCCAAATCCAAAGCCACAGTTGAGAAATGTAACACATCGCCCCTACTAGCAGTAAAAACAAGTATATAAAATATTTAGTAAGCATTTAAAAGATTTTTCTTTTCATTACTATAGATTGAATCCAGGGCAGTACACCACTGAGCTACATCCACATTCCTTTTAAGCATTTTAATGCTGCTTATTGAGACAGAGTAGTACAAGTTACCTTTGGCCTCTACACTTATCAGATGTGCTCAAAGTGGTGGCCCCATTCCTTTTTATTTTGAGATGGAATCTTGCTAAATTGCCCAGGCTAACTTTGTACTTGTGATCCTCCTTCCTCAGCCTCCCATGTACCTGTGATTACAGGCAGGCATCACTGTGCCCAGCCATCTAAGAGATTTTAACAACATAATTAACATACAGGACCTGATTCCCACACACATGCATGCATTGTGAACATGTATGAACATTCTAAAGTAAAAACAACTTTAGGGCTGGGGATTTAGCTCAGTGGTTCAATCCCCAGAACCAAAACAGAAAAGGAAAAAGAGCTTTAGACATTCTCTTCTAGTTTGTATTGGCTATTTTGTCAGTGTATAACAACTTTCAACCCCACCCCCCAAAACACAAACAAAACTCATTGTTTTGAAAATTAAGCCAGAAGACAGAAACTAGAATAATCTCAAAATATTTGGGGAACAAACACCACACATACAGAAAAAAATTGCCACAAATCAAAGAAAATTCACCAAAGAAGTTAGAAAACATTTTGATGTATGAAAAACAGGCATAGAAAAAATTGCAGATGTGAGTAATGCAGAGCTTTGAGGGAAATATCTGAGCCTGCATCTTACGTTCTAAATACAAAAGCTTAAAAGCCGAGGATACTACATTCGACCTTGGGACTTCACAAAAGGAATGGGCAAGCTATAGGAATGATGAAAGAAATACTCAATAAAATAGGAAAAATAAAATTAATACAGAAAAGTAGCATCACAAAAATTAGTTGCTTAATATTAATGCAATTAATACAGAACAAAGTTGAGGGATAAAAACATATTTCCAATATAAAAAAGAAAGATGGAACATTATTGCATGTCCTACAAACTTCCAAATAATTTTAGGAGAATCTGTTGAACATCCTTCTGTTCACAATTTGAAAATTTAGATGAATCACACAAGTTTTCTTAAAAGTTCATTTTACCAAAACAGACAAAAAAGAAATAGGCAGACAATGCCTGTTTTAGTATCTATTACTGTAACAAATGCCCGAGAGAATGGGTCTGTAAAGAGAAAGTAATCTTTGGGTTTATGGTTTCAGAGGCATCATCAGTCCATAGTTGACTGCCCCATTATCTGAGTCTTTGGTGACACAGTACATCATGGCAGGGACCGTGTGTTGGAGCAAAACTATACATCTATATAGCCAGGAAATGAGAGAGAGAAAACACTGGGTCCCACTGTCACCTTCAAGAGAATACCTCTGGTGACATGAAAACTTACCTGTGGGCCACGCCTATCACAGGCTGCATAATCTCCCAGTAGTACCACAGTCTGGGGCTCAGCTTTTACCACGTGGGCCTATTGAGGACATTGCAGATCCAACTATAGCACAAATAGTTTCTATACCTACTTAAAGTTGAATCTCTAATGAAAACCTTCCTGACAAAACCCTGGGGCAGATGTCGTCAGTGGTCATCTTCAGATATGTAGGAAAGGAAAAGGACTGACCCTTAGCCAACTCTCACAAAATAAAAACAAACTTCCATATAAAACTTCTAGATGAGGTAACATGTATATTAAATAGCTTGATTTAGGCATTCCATAATGGAGACACATTCAAAGGTCGTGTTGCACATCATAAATATAGACAGTGTTTACTTGTCAAGTTAAAAAAAAAGTTCAGAGATGCCATAAGAGAAATACAGTACAGATCATTTACTTTCACTCATGAACACACATGTAAAAATTTAAATCTAGGCATTAGAAAATTCAATCAAGTAATATATAAACAATAATGTATGTAACGTTTTTTCTTTGAATGTTAGGTTGAAATCAATCAGTTTAATACATATTTATAGAATAAAGGGGAAAATGCTCCAAATCAGGGGCCCACACATTTTCTATAAAGTGATTAAAAGCAAATATTTTATGTTCTTCAAGTCTTATGGTCTCTGTCACACTGTTCAAATATTAATTTAGCAGGAAAGCAGCTCCAGAAAATATGTAAGCAAAGGGATATAGTTGTTTTTCAGTAAAACTTCATTTAACAATGTCCATTGTTTAAAGATACTTGATCAAACTAAATGCAAAAAAAAAAAAAAACCCACTCAATACACTTCAATACCTAT